AGATATTATCTTTGATGTATGTAACAAAACCAAGCTTAGGATATTTATAAAAGTTAGAGAAGTAGTAGACAAAGCTAAATTTAATATTTCATATTATCAATGGCCATGATCTCTTAAGTTCAAGCCCCAAACATTTTTCTATTATAGATGGCTAAAATTCAAAATACTTAAAAGTTAAGATACTTTTATGCTTTGACTGCTTTTTTCTCTTCCTCATAGATAGGTTGTAACATGAGTTCTAATTGGTCTTAATAATAAAAATCCAGAGTCAGATATCAGGATAAATGCTGAAAGGCCAGAGAGAGAAAAATGAGCAAGTCACAGCCACTTCTTACCTTGCTAACTCTTCAGCCTGAAAGGGACTAAGATCCTGTCTCCTCCCACCTTATATTCATCTTTCCACCTAGCCATATCACTTCCTGTCTGTCTGTACAGACCTCCATACCTCTGTGCTTAACAAATGGCTAGCTCCACTCTCTGATCTTCAGGCAGGCTTTATTTGTTAGAGTACAAACAAGGTATCGACACATTTCCCCTTTTTGTCTAAATAAAGATAATAACTAACATAAGAAAAACTACATACAATAAGTACAATAACAATATACAATATATATAGGTAATAAATATATCAACAATGTCTAGTCCATTAGCAATTGAAAAATTCAGAGAAAATACTCCATATCAATCCTATCTTGGTGAGTCCAAAAGGTTGTTCCCAATTCACTTTCTATCTTAACTTACATTACCAAAGCTATCGCTTAATGTCTCTCAGTCTTATACACTTTCACCTCTTTAGTAAATTTCTTTTCTGAATCTGGTGACAAGGAAAGCTGTAACTATAAAGTCTTTAACTCTATCAGAGACCTGAGAAGGAAATGATGTACGTGAGTAAACAGGAAGGGTAAGCAAGCAACTTCCAAAAAATGTGAGAAATGACAGAAAAAGCTGGCTGCCTGGACAGTCACCCAAGTTTCCTCTGTAGTGCTGAGGCATCCATTTTTGTCCTATAGGCCTAGCATAACTGACAGAGTTCTATGTGAAGCATGATATTCTGAAGGGCTGTCCTACTTTGTCTTGGCAAAGTTTGACAGTCACTTTCTTTTGTGTCCTGCTTGTCCAACTTGGAGAGCATACTGTCAGCAAACAGCACTTTCTTGCCCAGTAGCTAACTTTCGCAACGAAGTAAATTCCGTATGGCGTTTCTTCAATGCCAGTCATCTTTTCTGAAGTAGATCAGTGCTTCCAGGAGTAGACATGTCTCATTGTCATGTAAAAAAGAACCTTGTTATTAAAACCTCTTAAATGCCATATTCTGTAGATCTCTGAAGTATTTGTAGATGACCTGTCTACCTAAAATATATTGTTTGACCTTGAAACCATATCTAATGCGACTACAAGTTTGATTGTAATAGATGACTAATTGCTAGCCTGCATTTCCTTATTATCTTAGATATTTAGCAATAACTTTCAATGGCTAAAAATTTGCATTACATTGTTAAACGAGTTGCATTGGTATAATACCTTGAACAATATTAGAAATGTATGTCCAGTATGATCTAACAAAATAATCTTAAATTTGTAACAATATACAAAAATCCATATCAATGTGAAATACTTAAAACTAGTAGTTGCTTTTTGGTTTAAAAGTAGATTCAATAATCTATCTTTTTATACTATTTTCATATCCCCCTTTTTCTTTTCAGAGTAAATTCAATAATCTACCCTTATGTCCTATCATATCTATACCCCCATTTTCTTTTCATTTTTTTCAAGACAAAACCCTGAATCTTACCAATAACAACTTATAACCAGCCACCCTAAATGATGGTAAATATCCATAATGCATTGAACAACTAAAAAATCACCCACCCCACCTCTTGGGAATGTGGGTATTACATTCTTAAAATTACTTCATGCTGTCTGGGGGCAATGACATCTTTAGGGGATCCTGAAAAGAAACATTTGGGTTAATTGCCAGGTCCTAGGAGAGGTAGCTGTATCATTTATTGTCCAGCCTCTGTGTAATGGAAAAGTTCAGGGCTTGTCTCAAGTCCTGAATAGAGTAGTCTCAGCTAGCCTCCTTAAAATTGTCCTGAGCAGTTTGTAGTCCAAAGCCTAACTTTAGGTGGTTGTCAGCTTAGTGGTGTTATCATAGTCCTGGTGGAATTGTCACTGTGGGGTTCCATTATTTTGGAGATTTCAAACGTCGCTGCTAGATATGGTCATGGTTCACTGCAGAAAACTTTAACATTTTAAATGTCATACACAGCAGATCTCAAAGAGGTTAAAGGATAAATATTTATTATATACATCCAGAGTACAAAAACTTAATTCCAAGTTACCAGATAGAGACTCAAATACGAAATCATGTACAGGAAACTAGTACTCAATGACTATTAATATTGTGACAAAAATTAATATATGTATATATATTAATCTTATAAATTTTGAGATAATATTTATGCCTTAAGAAAAGCTTTAAAGAGTCAAAATAGCTGGGTGGTGATGGCACACACCTTTAATCCCAGCACTCAGGAGGCAGAGGTAGGTGGATCTCTGTGAGTTTGTGACCAGCCTGGAAATACAATAGTCCTTTAATTTTTGTTTTTCTTCTGTCCCATGTCATGTAGATCTTTGGACATGAAACAGAACAAACATGCTTGGGTTTAGAGAAGAAGAGAGCCACACTGCAACTCCAAAGTAAGCTTTAATTTTTAACTGGACTGGGACTACAAAAAGACCATTTGCACTATATGTCTGTAAAGAAAACCAGAAACAAACATTTGGGAAAATTTATGAAATTTCATCCTGTTGAAAATGTCAATATCAATAAGCCAAATTACTCTTTTTGGGGGGACTTATTCTTCTGGATGATTTGTCCTTTTTCTTTAGATGTCTCACTTGTCCAGTGGTCTTCAGATTCCTTAGCAAGGTGTCTTCATTCTCCTGAAAAGACACAAACAAGGCCCTTCCCCAAGCCTAATTTTGGGGCAATTCCCTTATTGCAAGTTATAGCTGATCAAATGAAAAGCATTTGTTAGCTTTAAAGCTAGTTTAGATTGAATGGCCATGCTATTTGATGAGCTCTCCCCTCTTCTAATTAAGTACTCTCTCTTACTCAAATCTAATCTTTTTGTATTCTGATGGTATCCATAACTTTTGTTTGTTTTGTTATTATAAGATTTAACCAAATAGGAAGACATGACAATAGAGGCAGCAAAGCAATGGTGGGTGCAGCTACTTGCTCCGCTTCTGTGGGAGAGAGAACTGTCTTTATTTTCCAAGTGTCTTGTTCCAAATATCCTTACATTTGGCAGAAGCCTCCTCTGAGTCCATCCTCTTTTGTATCCACTGCATCTTACCCTCATTTGAATTAGACTGTTGGAACTATATGGACCTCCTTAGATTTTAGAGGGTGATTCTGATGAACAATGACATTCAAGAGTCCCTTCAAGGACCATAAAAGAGGAATGCCAGTCTTAGCATGAGTGGGGAGTTTCATTCAGAGCCACATTCTTACCAATTTCACTGAGAACTACTGGTTAAGAATGATACATTTGCAAGGGTTTTTGTCCCACCCCCGTTAAGAACAGGAGTAAGAAAACCTGATCTCTTCCCAGGTCCAGAGAAAAATGTCAAGCCAAATTTTACTTACAAAGAGGTGTTCTTGTCTCTCTAAATCAATGGTTCTCAATCTATGGGTATCAACCCCTTTGGGGAGTAAGTTGACCCTTTCACAGGGGTTGCGTAAGACCATCAGAAAACACAGATGTTTACACTGTGATTCATAACAGTAGCAAAATTACAGATATGAAGTAGCAATGTAATAATCTTATAGTTGTGGGTCACCGCAGCATGAGGAACTGTATTAAAGGGTCACAGCATTAGGGAGGTTGAGAACCACTGCTTTAGATGGAAGAAGTGGCTTCTAGAAGTCTGCATCTGTGTCTCAATGATGTACATAGAGCTGTGTACTAAACTGTGCAGAAGTCATTTTCTGGTTTTGATGCTTTTTTTACTTCTGAGGTTTCCCTGGCTTGGGAGGAACTTCTCTGCCAGTGTTGCCAAATTCCTGGGTATGGAGAGCATGGTTTTCATATGCAAACTAACCAGTCTACCACCCATTGAACCCTGACATTGCATGCCAAGTGTTCCTACCCATTAATAGCCCCAGGACCAAGTACCAGGCAATTTCTAATACTCCCCGTCCCCCGCCCCGATACTGCAAAGCCAGTTAGGGAAATATTCAAATAGCCCATCCTAAACCAGTTTTTCTATCATATCCTCTTTGTTTTCTCAGAGATCACATGGCGCTTGTCATGTTTGTCTCCTGTTTCTCTTGTACTCAGTGACCCTCACATTTCCCCATGTGACCCTTGGTGGAATGCATCTTGTTTCTAGAGATGAGCAAGTATAAAAATTCTTTCTCTCATGACAGTCACTTCATATCTGTTTGATTTATCCTGCCTGATTTGAGCAAATTCTGAGTAGATTTTAAGTAGAAACAAATCCTAGATCTGCTAGGCAATCCAGGCACAGGAAGTTAAGAGTTCACGAGAACATCCCAGGTGGGTATACAGGAAGTGAAGAGTTTATGCAAGCTTCCCAGGTAGGGGCATGTGCTTTGCATGCAGGGAATGGTAACAGAGCAGTTTACCTGGACCCTGTTATTTGAGGTGGCATAGTGAAATGAATTCTTATTTGAGTTGAGGAAGGAGGAGTAAGAACTAGATCATGCATACCACAGGATCTTGAAGATAAGGAGTCTGGAGTATTCTAAAGGTGAATGAAACTAACTAAAGAATTTGAAGCAATGAGTGATGTAGGAGGAGACTTAGGACTGTACCATTAGCCATGTGGTGCACAAGAGGTGCATACATATGTGGTAATAATAGGGCAGTTCACCTCGCCGCTAACCACACCTATCTCTGGGCGTGGCTAGAGGAGTGTAGGGAGGTTCTTATAAAAGACTGTGAGCAGAGCCTCACTCTCTCTTTTTGGCTTCCGGTTCGGTGGCGAAAGCTTCTTGACTCATCTGGGTTTCCTGTTTTCTCTTGTAAGTAATTTCTACAATAAATAGTTACCTCTACCCTGAACAAGTGTGCCATTTATCTTTACAGCTACAGAGTGAGGTTATCTAAATTCTTTTTTTTTTTTATTGTTTTGTTTGGCATTTTGAGACAAGGTTTCTCTGTGTAGCAGCCCTGGCTATCCTAGAACTCATTCTGAAGACGAGGCTGGCCTCAAACTCACAGAGATCTGCCAGTGTCTGCCTCCTGAGTGCAAAGATTGAAGGCATGAGCCACCACCACCAGGCGGAACACCTTTTAAGGGCAGAGACCTCAGCCAGGTGTCTTGCAGAGTAAGCACTTTGAAGTAAGCAGTTCTAACAGAAGCTAAGTAAAGGGGTTAGCCGGTGGGAGGGAGGTTCCAACAAGCAGGCCACTAAGATGAATGGTTAGTTAGGACATTCTGACCTTTAATTCCTATAATAGAGCCAGCTAGTTGTCCAAGGGATCCATCAAGGACATCCGATTCTAGCTAAACCTGGAAACGGCCTCAGCTAGAATACAAGACAGAAGAACCTCTGCCCTGTCTTTTCCTGTCACATTTGCGTGGCACAAATTCAAAGCCCAGCAGAAGTAGTTTCCAAGAGGTATAAATTGTCTTTTGTTGACAGAATGGGAAGCTGTCAACAAACTGTCACCAGAGAGGAAAAGGCACCAGACAACATTTGAGTTCTTTGGCTTCCCAGATTCTCAGGACCACAGTGTGTTGGACTATTCACAGCATCACCATTAATGCTCAAGTAACACTGATCTCATTGACTGTCTGCTTCAGTCTCCAGGGTTTCTAGGTTACAACAAGGAAGTGGGCTTTGTCATGGTGAAGGCCTTATCCTAATCAAATATCTGGAGGGTAGATTATTTACTGTCCCAGAGGCTTTGTGTATGAAGAGGACATTGTGCTGTCTAATTTTATGTCAACTTGACACAAGCTGGAGTTCCCAGAGAGGAAGAATCCTCAACTGAGAAAATGCCTTCATAAGATTGGGCTGTAGGCAAGCCTGTAGAGCATTTTCCTACTTAGAGATTGGTCAGAGAGGGCCCAACAGTTTGTGGGTGGGGCCACCCTGGCCCTAGGGTCTATAAGAAAGCAGGCTGAGGGGGTCATGTGGAGGATGCTAAAGTATGAGCAGCACTCCAGGGCTCAGGCATCAGGTTCTGCCTCCAGGTTCCAACCCTGCTTGAGTTCCTGCCCTCACTGCTTTTGAAGATAGACTGTTATGTGGAATTGTAAGGTGAAATAAACGGTTTCCTTTCCTAGTGGCTTTTGGTCATGTGATCTTTCACTACAGCACTAGTTAAGACAGACATAGTCTTTGGAATTTGATCAATGCTCAGTTTAATCATTGAATATATCGTTTAACGTTCTGAAATTTGGAGGAGATATTAAGTAGTTGGATATGGTCTCACTTTTTAATTTTGCATGTTTCTGTGCTTTTTTTTTCCTTAAAATAAAACTGAGTGGAATAGGTACCCTACTCATTACTAATATGTTGCAGAAAATGGAAGAATTGGTAAAGAGATACTATGCAGAGTTCTAAATTAAAACTTTCAGGGACTCAAAGTCAGCTGTAATGGAATTCATGCCAGCTAGTGTGTGATGTTTTGTTTGCCCTCTAACAAATAAAGCTTGCCTGAAGATCAGAGGGTGGAGCTAGCCACTAGTTAACCATAGAGGTCAGGCAGTGGTGGCATATACCTTTAATCCCAGTTTTAGGGAGGTGGACACAGCAGGGATACGACTGGGCAAAGAGGACTGTAAGGCAGGTGGAAACGGAAGCTCACCCCTTCAGTCTGAGGATTCGATAGCGGTAAGAACTCTAGTGGCTGCTCTGCTTCTCTTATCTTTCGTCTTTCACCCCCTATTATCTGACTCCGGTTTTTTATTGGTAAACCAACTAGAATTTGTGCTACCAATCTGCATTTGGATAATTGAGTTCTGAGAACTAGAACCATTGTGGGAGTGTTGTTCCTATGCCAGGTGCAGTGATAAGGAGACATGGTAGAGATTGGTAGTCAGCTCTGTTTCCAAGAGGAAGGAATGCCTAATTTAAACCTAAAGGGTAAGAAAAACCTTGCTCTTTATAGAACAGTGAAACAAATAATCAAGACAGAAGTTAAGAAGAAAGAGGACCTTGAATGCCAGTTACTCTCCATGGAGTCAGGGAGACAGGCGTGAGATCAGCCCGTTTTCACATAGCTTGGTTCATGCTGTACCAGGTACAAGAACAGAGTGCTCCGAGAAGCCGTGGCAGTGATTAATCAGAACCCATGTGGGGAAGGACTCTGCCAAGTAGATATAAAAATAACGAGGATCACTGCAGAAGGGTAAACCCTGTCTTCATTAGAGATGGCTAACAGTGGATTATTTGCCCTACTGTACACTTAATTAAGATCAATAACTGGCTGCCTGAAAACTTTAACAGTTGCCTTCTGATAAGACATTTTAGAATGCTTGAGACTAGAAAATGCGTCTTGAACTCAAGAAGATGACTTGAGCAGCTGTCTCAAGCCTAAATATTTATCCTCGTTTATGAAATGACAACAGTGATGCATCTTCTCATGGATAATTGAGGATGAAGTGAGATAGGATTTGTGAAGTGTGATCTTTTGTGCCTTTTGCAACAAAATTACAGTTCTGATTATAACAGAGCTAAGAGCAAGCTGTCCCAGCCTTCAGAGCCATACCTCAGGCCTTTAGGGGAGGAGTTGTGGAAGGAGGCGGCTATGGTGAGAGAAACTACAACATCATCAATGTTTTAACGGTGGCAGAAAAAAATCATATCCACTGGGAAGTTACAAGTCCTGTGTTTACAGGAAACAACAACCTTTGTCACAGCCCTAGACTCTTCTTTTCTTCCTGCCTCCCTTAATTCCCTCTTTAAAATAGAAGTTGTTAGCAGTGGTGTTGCATGCAGGCAGATCTCTGAGTTTGAAGCCAACTGGTCTATAGAGTGAGTTCCAGGACAGCTGGGAGCTACACAGAGAAACCCTGACTCAAAAAAAAAAAGAATAATTTAAATAGTCCCATAGTCCTGAAGACCCAAGCTTGGCTCTTATCTAATCAAAAGAAAATCATGTGGTTAAGAAGAGGAAATCTTGGGGGAAGTTAGTCAGTTGTTTGAGCTGAGTTCAGCTGCGAAGAGGCAGATTGGGAAACAATGACTCAAACCCCTTAAGTACTGCCTGGAGCTGGCTACCAGCAATTGAAAACTCCATTTCCTTCTAACTTCCCATAAAAGTCTGGGGAAGGGAGAAAAGCTGGAGATATCCCTCCTGTCCACCCTGAACTGTAGAATTCTTCATTCCATCTTGACTGATTACTCCCAAACCAACATATGCAAACAAACAACAACAAAAAACCACAACAACAAAACAAAACATCGAGTGTTTTGGTATTATCACCAAAGAAGTTGTTTTCAGAAAATGCTCACCAGCATTTGTTACTTGTGGATGAGCAAGAAACTGCTTACTGTTCTAAATCCTTGATCATCTCTGAATCGAAGAGATTCACTAACTGAATTTAAGAGCAATGCTTCATCATTCTGATAATGAAATGAATGGCATTTTTTATATTGAGAACGATGGCAGCAGGATACTATGGGCAGTTACGCACACCCCACATCCTGAGATCCTGAATGATACTCTAAAATGAGATCATTTCACACAAGTAAAATGAGGCCCATGGGCTGCAGTGTCAAAGAGGTCTAGGTGCAAATTCTTGAAGGGTTTTAAACTAGCTGGGCCCTTGAGCAAAATACCTCCTAGGGAAGAGTGCCAGGTACACTTCCTGAACTTCTGGTCTACTGTAAGTGGTCATTCCTTAGGACTGAGAGTCAGGCTGTGATCATTTCACTCTCGTCATTCCTGTCTCACCCACTCATAGGACCTATGATGAGATGATGCAAGGTTACAGTGTTGAATGGAATTCCTCATCATAGGCAAATATATTTGAATAAATGGTCCCTAGTTGGCAGTGCAGTTTGGAGAGGTTTAGGAGACTTGTCCTTTTTGGAGGAAGTGTGTCTGTCACTGGAAGAAGGTTTTGAGCACTTACAGACTCAAGCTATTTCCATTTCCTTCTTTGTTTCTTGCTTACCATTCAGGATATGAGCCCTCAGCATCCTGTTCCAGCCTCCGTACTGTCCCTACCATTATGGATTCTACCCTTCTGAAACCCTAAGTCAAAAGAAACTCTCTCTTCTATGGTTGCTCTGGTCATGGTATTTTGTCACAGCAACAGAAAAGTAGCTAATACAGTGTTAACAACTAAAGACCTTTTTTTTTAAATTTTCATTCTTCTCTCATATATTATATCCTGTCTGCAGTTTCCACTCCCTTCCCTCACCAATTTTTCCCCACTCTACCTCTCCTCTGCCCCAGATCCAACACTCCTTTCTGTTTTCCCTCAGAAAAGAGCAGGCCTCCCAGAGACAACCAAACATGGCATAGCAAGCTACAACAAGACCAGGCACAGACCAGAACATCAAAGGCTGGACAAGGCAACCCAGTGGGAGGAAAAGAGTCCCACAAATAGGCAAGAGAATCAGAGACACCCCTCCCCCCGTTGTTAAAATGTATAGGTTTATCCAGTAACGAGACACAAATCGTGACTCAACGATCCCATGTGGAGCTTTATTGGTGGACAGGGAAGGACGGGGGTGAGGGATAACCAACCCATGCAGAGCTGAGAGAGAGAAAGATAAGATGTGTGTGTGAGAGAGAGAGACAGAGAGAGAGATAAGATGTGTGTGTGTGTGTGTGTGTGTGTAGAGAGAGAGAGAGAGAGAGAGAGAGAGAGAGAGAGAGAGAGAGAGAGAGAGACGAGAGTAAGAGACAAAGAGAGGAGATGAGATGGAGAGGAGGAAGACGAGAGTAAAAGAGAGCCTAAGAGGGCAGGGGTCAATCCTTTAAAGGGGTCCTTTGCACCTGCGTGGTTCTCACAGAACTCTGGGCTGGCCAGAGGGTTGCCTGAGTACATCCTGCCAGG